TATATAGGATCCGAACCTGTGGCCTTGGTGTTATCAGCACCGCACTCTGCCGAGCCGAGTGAGCCACGGGCCGACCCCCAAATGAGATAGATTTAAAGAGGTAAGCAGCTTTGTCTAAAGTGGCATATGTGGTGAGGCTGCTAAAACTCACGAGTGTCTAAGTCAGAACTCTTTTACAATCAGTTTTTAAAAAGTCTCCAGACTAATTATCAGAATATTAGGAAGGTAAGGGAGGGGTGTTAATATTTTTTAAAGCTCCCCATGTGATTATTAACATACAGTTAGGTTTGTGAACCACTGCGCTTAAAATCCTGCCTGCTATAGAAACAGCAGAATTGAAGTGAAATTGAAGGCAGGTCAATTTGCTCCAAATTATCCACTTAACCAAAATGTCCAGGGGATGTGTTTGATCAAGGGAGTAGTGTGACCAACTTGTCCTGGTTTGCCCAGAACTTCCCCAGTTTTAGCACTGAAAGTCCTATATCTTGGGAAATCCCTCAGTCCTGGGTAAACCAGCATGGCTGCTCACACTATAAGGCAGTTATTTATGAAATTTGGTGATCTGTAATAGCATTTTATTATTATTTAAAAACCCCAGACGTTTCTAAAAATTAGATCAGAACAGGGAAGTGTTTTCCTATGTATGTATGTATACTTTTTGATCCCTCTTCAAAATATGTTTGCTTATTCTTTTTTCTGCCAGTTCAAATCTACTGTGAGCTCCTGTAGTTTTCATTTCAGTTATTGTACTTTTCAACTCCAGAATTTTAATTTGCTTTTTTTTTTTCCTTTTTGTCTTTTTCCGTGTCCGGCAACGGATCGCAACCCTCAGTGTCGCCCCCGTACCGGACCGGGACCAGCAACGGGATCGCAACCCTCGGTGTTGCTCCCACACCTCGCTCAGCCAGTGAGCGGGAACTGGTCTGTATGTGGGATCCGAACCCTTGGCGGGAGCGCCGCCGCGCTTCCCAAGCGGCGCACTATAGCAGTGCGCCACCGGGCCGGCCCTTAATTTGCTTTTTTAAAAACAATTTATCTTATTGATATTCTCTATTTGATACAACATTCTCATCATCGTATCTTTCTTTACTTCTTTAATCATAGTTTCTTTTGGTTCTGTGAACATGTTTACAGTGGTTACTTTAAAGTGTTTTTCTGGCTGGCCGGTTTGCTCAGTTGGCTAAAGTGTAGTGTTATAACATCAAGGTCAAGGGTTCGGATCCCTGTACCGCCAGCCACTAAAAAATAGTCTTTTTCTGATAAATCTGACATCTGGTTGCTCTCACAGGAAGTTTGTTGCCTACTTTTCTACTGGTATATGGGTCATACTTACCTATTTCTTTCCATGCCTCTTTGTATGGCAAGTGAATGTTTAACTTATAAACTAATGGACAGTTCTCAAAAGTGGTTATTCCATTTTTCACTTCCATCAACAATATATGAGTGTTTCAATGGCTTCACATACTTACTAGCATTTGTTGTCTTTTAAGGTCATTCTAATGGATGTGAAATAGTATATTATTGTGGTTTTGATTTGTATTTCGGAGAGAACCTTAGATATCAAACACTTTTGCATAAATTTCTAATTTTGATGAAGTCCAATTTATACTTTTTTTTTTTTGTGACCAGTAAGGGGATCATAACCCTTGGCTTGGTGTCGCCTGCACTGCGCTCAGCCAGTGAGCGCACCAGCCATCCCTATATAGGATCTGAACCCACGGCCATGGCGCTCCCAGTGCCGCACTCTCCCGAGTGAGCCACGGGGTCGGCCCCAATTTATACTTCTTAAAAAAATTTCATGGTTAGTGCTTTCTGTGTCCTGCCCAAGAAATCTTTACCTACCCCAGGGTCAAAGATACTCTCCTGTTTTTTCTATAAGCCTTTGTTTCTGAGTTTTATATTTAGGTCCATGATCCCTCTCCATTTTAAACTGGTGTGTATGTGTGTTGATGTGTGTGTAGAAAATGAGATAAGGGTCAAGGCACATTTTATTTCATAAAGATATCCAGTTATTCTACCAATATTTTTATAAGGACTTTCCTTTCCTAATTGAATTAACTTGGCACCTTAGTCAAAAACTGTACATGCATAGGTCTATTTCCTGGACACACTATTCTGTTCCACTGATATTCTATTCTTATCCTATAGCACACTCTCTTCATTACTGTAGCTTTATAGTAATTCTTTTTTTTTGTCCTTTTTGAGACCGGCCACACCACGCTCAGCCTGTGAGTGCTGTGAGCGAACCGGTCAGTCATCCCTATATAGGATCCGAACCCGCGGCCGGAGCGCTGCTGTGCTCCCAGCGCCACACTCTCCCGAGTGCGCCACGGGCTCGGCCCTTTATAGTAATTCTTGAAATCAGATAGTACAAGTCCTACAACATGTTCCTTTTCAAGATAGTTTTTTCTGTCTTAAGGTCTTTGGACTATATTATAAAATTTAAAATCAGCTAGTCTATTTTTAAAATGAAAAAAATGAGAAAAAAAAAAGCCTAATGGAATTTTGATAATGATTGCTTTAAATCTGTAAATCTGTTCAGGAAGAATAGACATCTCAACCAAAATTGAGTTTTCTAATTCTAAATATGATATATCTCTCCCTCCATTTAGGCCCTGTAAAACATTTTCTCAGCAAAGTTTTGTAGTTTTTACTGCATAAGTCTCGCATATCTTTCTATAGATTTGTTCCTAGGTATTTGATGTTTTTTGCTGTTACTGAAAATATTGTTTTTAAAATTGAATTTTCTCATCAGATCCCTAGTATGCCCTGGCTTTGATTCTTGTAAGATCTTGCTAAATTCACTTATTAGCTCTGGCTGATTTTCTTACTCTTTCTGTAGACTGCATAAGGTTTTCAATGTAAACAGTCATATCATCTGTGGATAATTGACTGTCTTAACTCTTGTGTTTCAATGTGTGTGCCTTTCTTTTTTTTTGACTGATTCTACCACTTTGTCCTCCAGAACAATGCTGAACAGAAATGGTGAGAACAGACATCCTCGCTTTAGTATTTCACCATTATGTATGACGGTAGGTATAGTTGTTTTTCACAGATGCCCTTTATCAGACTGAGGAATTTATATTCCTAGCTTGCTGAGAGGTTCTGTACTGTGAAGTTGTGCTAAATTTTGTCAAACATTTTTTCTATATTCATTGCGATGATTGGTTCTGTAGTCACTGAGATATAGGTATTCTCCTTC